CAGTGAACACTGGTGTGCTCATGAACGTAAAGTCTACAAATGCGAGAGATTATTGCTAATAAGTGCTGTGTATTTCTTGGTCAAACATGCTACATAGTGTATATATACAACTCACAAAAATATACTCCCCTAAAATCAAGTTATCTGAAGTTGCTGCCTGCCTACCCCGTGCTAGAACCCTGATAATGGTGAGACAGGAAATCGGCATGTTTTATTGCTCCACTGGCACAAAGTCTATTTTCTTCTAGGAGGGGATGCCTGTTGCGTTTCAAGACTGGCTAAATAAATTCTTCTGCCATTAAAAAAGAAAAGAAATTCCAAATCCTCATGTTGGCTTGATGCTGCAACTCAGACGAGTGGCTTAAACCAATTCCGCATCTGGCCTAGATGAGCAATTTAAGCCAATTCAACATCTGGCAAAGAATACAGCATCAGTAATCAAAGAGTCATGTTAAACCCAGGCACAAAGTGTGTGCTTGGCCAAGATCTGCTAACAGAATAAAAGCAAGACAGACAGAGATTTCCGGACCTCTAGGAATACATAAACTTTTGCTCCTGGTGAACTGAGCCAGGTATACCTATTGCATGAGAGCTAACTGTATCTCTCAGCAGTAATATTCACCCCTCCTGGAGGGAACGCCATTCATTCCATTCACTAATCACGCATATGTTAAGGATTCTCCATTTGCAAAAAATGGCGCTGATGGGATATGATACAGCAAGGTGCTAAAAAAGCTGACAGGTTAGTAGATGAGATGGTGCTGTGCACACAACAGTGCAAGACGCTGTGGGAACAAGCAGGAAGGTGCTCATGTCAGCTCAGAGAGGCAGGGAAGGACTCCCAGGGGAGATGGCACAGCAAGCAAGTTTGATGGATAGTCAGGAGTTGGTCAGACAGGTAAGAGAGGGGAGGGGCCTGAAACAGGAATCAAGTTGTTATTGCCTTTCGGGACAGTTGGGGCGCTGGAGCCAAGAACAGACCTGGAACAAAGTTAATGTTATTTTTACAAGCTAGAAAAATATCAGCAGCAGGAGCCCTGGCCAGAACCACCCCCGCAAGTGCAAACAAAGCTACTCCTATCTTCAGGCTGTCTGCCGGAGAACTTGCTAACCAGCACCTTAGGAACAAAATGTTCTTTTATCATTGAGTTTTATTCTCACCAAGCTCGTCCTCCTTCTTCCAGAAGTGGAAAAAGCATGAGTGGAGCTGTTCTTGTTTCTCTGACCTTTATCCTCCCTTCCCAGGTTTCCCAGGGGTATCTCTCCAGAGCAGTGCTGACCCCTCCTGTGGTCCAGAATGTGGGGTCCGAGGCAGTCACACCAAGTCAACTCCTCAAGGGACCACAGTTGTTAGGATTTCTTTGTGTGACATCTGGCTAGGATCCAATTCTGACACCAAAGCTGGGTTCTCACATGACACGTGGAAATCTCTTTGCACTGAGCTCCTGAGGCTGTTCCTGATCTTGGCCTATTCAGAGTCTTAAAGGCATGAATCCCTCATTCCATTACAGGGAACCAAAGCAGGAACATCAGGGCAGGGTCCATGAGAGCAGAGGGAGCCTAGAAGCTTCGGGTTCTTCTGCAGCTGCCAATCAACAGGGAGACAGTGCCCTGATGGACTCAGCCTGCCAGTAGTAACTCAGGGACCTTCCATTTATGAAGCTCCTACTTTATGTGAAGAAACCAACAAGAAAGGCCTCCTCTGCACCAGACGCTCTGCTGGCTGCTTTAACTCTGTATGTCATGAGTTCTCATAACCACCCTGGGAGGGGGCACTACTGTCTCTCACTGCGAAGAGGAGACGAGAGTACTGAGAGGCACCACATTTGTGGGCAAACAGGAGTTTAAATCCAGCTCTCCAGACTATGTGGAGTGCCCTCAAAATGGCATCACAGTATGTCTCCAGGAGTTAGCTGTCCCCAACCCATACTGTTAAGCTACAGTCATGCCAGCCCAGGGGAGAACAAAGAGAATTTGCAAAAAGAGTGGGGCTTTGTCTTATTTGTTCACCGCTGAGAGTCCCCAGAGAGTCCCCAGTGCCTAGACCAGCAGTTCTCAACCTGGGAGTTGTAACCCACAGGAACTGTATTAAATGGCCACGGCATTAGGAAGGTTGAGAACCTGTGGCCTAGACCAATAACTGACAGGGGACATGCACTCAATATATGGCTCTAGAGAAGGTGTGGTTGGACCACTGGATGACCAGAGGATGACCTTTCCAAGACTTGCAGACCTCTGTTCTCTGCTACATCCTGACACAAGCATAGGTGGGTTGGAAACTGGGCAGGAACATTTGCTCCTGGGCTGCTTCTTGTTCCCATCATCCTAATCCTGAATTGGCTGTGAGGTGACGGGGAGAAGGGGAGGCATAAGAGGGCAGAGTAAGGATAAAACTTGGTCAACACTTATCAAGTCGGTCTTTACTGTCCCCCAGTCACTGAGAACCCTTTCCTGGGACCGCCTAATGTGATGAGAGCACATAATTGATCACATGAATCATGAATCATAATTTAAAACAAAATACTGATAGAATGAAAGGCTAGAACAAAATATATGGGCTACAGTGGAAGGGAGAGATACTGAGGATCAAAACACACCAGTTTTCTAAAAACAATGCAGAGAATGTCTCAACATGTCTGAGTGTCCCAGCGAAGTCATGCAGAGGAGACAGCCTGGAAAGGGGTTCTTCAGGTTAGAGGAGAAGCCAGCCCCTTCTGTGCCCTTCCTGGCCACCACTGAGACCTAATCTCAGGCCTTAGGGAATCCAGGGTTCTCATTCTTTCCACTTATAAAAACTTTTGGAAAATATAGGGCAACACAATAACTTAGGAGTATTTGCATCTTAAAGGGAATAAAAGGTCTAAGCCAAAGCTTCTAAGAGTAAAATTTTTGTCAATGAGCATCTTACTTTAGAAAAAAGATGGGGGTCATTTAGCCATCTCCCTCCTACGGAGCACAACAAGTATTGGATAGATGTGAGAAGGTGTGTTCTGGCACATCCCTTAGGGGAGCTCTAGGAAACTGACAAGGAAACCACTGGTCCTCAAGGGGCAAGCCCTCTTTCATTCAGTGCGTGGTCCCAGCCAAGAACTTGTCACCTGGATGGCAGTGGACTAAAACTGTCATCCCAGGGACAATTGATGAAGCATGATGGAGAAAGTTTCCCTGGCCTCACA